GGCAGAGGTAGACTGGACTAGTAAGCATTGAAGCTATCTATCTATAGCAATGTTCTTTCCTTATTTTTACTGACAGTCAAACCGAGGGCCTGATTCTTGATCTAATTACCATACCACTGTGTTTTCAGTGAAATTACTCCCAATGACCAACTGAAATAAGAATCTCTAACACTCTTTTGTAGAGGTCACATTATCACAATCTCCATTTACTTAAATTAGTGGTTCTCAACTTTTATACACTCAAGGCACCCCTCACTAGACTCAAGGCATCCCTTCATAACTTTTGTGAAATGAGCAGCACCTCATTTAAAAAACTAATTTATTTAAGTTTGTCCCCCTCCTTGCAGAGGGCCTGGGCAATGGGAGCAATGGAGCAACCAGAGAGCCAGGGCCTGCCCTTATTTGCTTATATGCTCATACTTGGAGCCCTGATCCCACTCTTACCTAGTTGTCTCTCGATACCTCCTGAGGCACCCTTCAGCAATCTTGCCACACTCCAAAGTGCCTTGGCACCCTGGTTGAGAATCACTGTCTTACATTATACTACTCCTTATGATGCTCTTTTGCAACTGCTAAAAAAAGAGACAGGCTGCACCTGCTCTATTTACAGCATATCTCTGTCATCTAGAATATGAGATATACTAAAGCCATCATTAAACTATAGTTGTTTGCCTACAACTGCCACACAACAGGATCTCATACATAGCTGATTTTTTCATATACCAAGGTAAGATAATTGATAGGGTTACCTCACATTCTGTTGTTCTGTTTACACCATATATCTGTATTTAATTAGATGCATGGGTGGTTTATTGTTCACTTGAAGTTGAATATTTAAATTTTCCAAAAAAAAAAAAATTTTAATTCCATAAAGACCTGGGGTTCTGAGCCACATTTTCTGAAACATTGCTTTAGAGTAGAGGGCATAAGATACCGTTCCCTGAAGATGGTACCATTTTTGTACATTCCCAATTCTGGGCTACTCTGGAGACGCCTGCAGTACAATTTGAACAATAATAAGGGACTTCTCAGGCTGCCCTGTGGCCCACAGGGCTGCCAAAATACCTGTACTGCAGCCTATCTTCAAGTGTGACCACGCTTCCCCATAACT